GGAATATAGAGTATGAGAGGAAGCTGAAGGAAAGACTACAGAGTTTGAGTTCAAAAATAGCATCTGGTGCCCTGATATTTATTCATAAATGCAGTGCAATTACAGGCTGCTGTTCACTGAAAAAGACTTCTAGGTTGACTCCCAGAAGATTTGAAACCATAAAGTTCATGCCCTTGGCATACAGTCTGAAATGACAAAGGCTTTCTCCTGAAATAGTGGAGATCATGCTAAATGTAAAGATATAATAATAAATGTGCTAGTCTTTAATGCGCTATAAGAGTCTATTGTTTCTGCTACAACTGACTACTACAAATACACCTCTGAAGATTATTTCAAGGCTGCATGACGTCCTAATGTTGTTGCCATATTGCCTTATCAAAGTTCTCCCTGAAATGTATAAACCTCTGGCCAAGTAATTGTTCCAAAGAAGAGATAATATACAAAATTCTAAATACAGTGGTGCCTCGCTTAGCGAGTGCACCGTATAGCGATGTTTCCGTATAGCGATCCCTTTGCGAAGATCGGGTATTGCGGCGGCAAAATGGCCGCCGGAAGCCCGGAAATGGCTGCCGGCAGCCGTTTTAACGCCCTGCCCTCGCTTAGCGAGGGCACGAAAATGGCTGCCGGCAAGGGGAATCCTCGCTGAACGGGTAAGTAAGCAAGGTATTGGAACGCATTAAACTAAGTTTAATGTGTTTCAATACCTTTTCCCTACCCGTTTAGCGACGATTCCGCATAGCGAGGGTTAATCCGGAACGGATTAACCTCGCTATGCGGGGCACCACTGTATATATTAGGGGATAACACCGTGTGTGGTGATCAAGCACACACATTTTGATCCCATCCACAACTTTCTGTCTTCCTTCTACTCCATATTACTAACACTCAGATATGCATTCATAAGAAATTGGGGAGGGGGGACAATGAGTGTGCTAAAATTCTTTTTCCTTTATTTGTTTTATCAACATGCAGGAATGCATTTGCACATCAATAAAGCAACATACAAAAGTGAACTTCATGAAATCATAAATAAATGTGCATCAAGGTTGCTGTTCTGCCATGTTCTACCATTGTCTAGTGTTAGTGTTAGAAACTTTTCCGGCTGGTGAAGACCAGAAGGGATTGTGAAGAGCTCCAGAAGCTGGGAGCTCTCCCAAACTGTGAGAATGGGTGGCAAAATGGCAAATGTGTTTAAATATAAGAAATTGTTAAGTAATGCACACTGGGGCAAAAAAATCAAAACTTTATCAGCTGATGGGTTCTGAGCTGTCCATGATGGATCAGGAAAGAGAACTCGGTGTGGAAAATAAAATAGCCAACATTATAATGCCATTGTAAAAATGCTAGTAGGGCCATACCTGGAGTACTGCATACAGTTCTGGTTGCCGCACCTCAAAAAAGTCATTGTGGAACTGGAAAAGTTGCAGAAGAGAGCGACTAAAATGGTGACTGAGCTGGGGCACCTCCCTTATGATGAAAGGCTACAGCATTTGGGGCTCTTTAGTCTAGAGAAAAGGTGCCTGAGGGGGGCATAATTGAGACATATAAAATCTCATGTCCTCTGCTTTCCAGATGCACACACTGTCTTTTACCTGCAACTATCAGTGCTTGTAAGTTCTATATATAGAAAAAAACAGGTTCTGTACAAAATTCTCATCCATCCCTACTAAAAGAACAGGAAATTCCCTGCATTTTAGTGATACCTGATTCATGATGCAACCTTTACTGATCTCTTGTTTCCAAACCAAAGCCTCCAAACTAGCTACCCCCATCAGAGTCTCCTTTTGTAGTTCACCAGCAGGTACTGACAGCAGATCAAAGTTAGACTGCAAAGTCAAAAGCTTATTGAACACTTTCAAATACCCTGAGGAACTGTGGACAAAGAAAAACAAATTGCTGGAGAATAGCATTGTATTTCTTTTTAAAAAAGACTTGATGCTTATCTACAGATTTGAACTCTTTTAAATATTATCATAAGATGAAAAAATCATGCATATGCAGAGAAAGAGCTAGATCTTATGCCTGGAAAATGGTTCTTTCTTTCTTTCTTTCTTTCTTTCTTTCTTTCTTTCTTTCTTTCTTTCTTTCTTTCTTTCTTTCTTTCTTTCTTTCTTTCTTTCTTTCTTTCTTTCACAGCTGGAAAAGGAGCCAGTGTTGCAGAGATTCAATTTGCATGCATTGCCCACTTCTCACTACCAGGGGGCAATAGCGTTTCAGGAATGATTATCACAATGGAAATGGTGTACCTAGCCCTTAGGACATTATTTCCTAGCAACTGCCTAGAAACCAGATTGTATTTATTTAAGTAGTAAATGGATTATGCTGTGACACATGTGTTATTACAGCATTTATTTACCAGGTTTCCCTGATTTTTTTTTACTGCCACATGAATAGTATCATTCCAGCAGCA